GACGAGAAATACCAAATAACAATAAACTGCCAAACAAATATTTTGTGAGACGTTAATTGAAAAAGCATACATATATTGTAAAAAACAAAAACGACGAGAGGAACAAACATTTAATTGTAAAAGAGCCAGTCGCCATCAAGTATAACATGAAATAATGGCACTGCCAGCGGGCCAGCACGCTATTGATAGTGATCTTTATATAAATTGATCATTTACGGTTTGGCTTGATGTATATACTACATATATACAAACAGTCTAAATCGTTAACCAAAAACTAATAAGTTATATACATATAAATACAAAATGTTTATATTTATACATTATATATTATAAATATTTTTGATGAATTTAATAAAACCTGTTTCGATTAATAGGCTGTTTTGATTTAAAAAGTGAAATAGTCCAAAGTTGTTCTACACCAGAGTACCAGACTACACCTTGCACTGTCACATAATGATTTAACTTCAGATTTTAATTTTTCCACTGTAATAGGCAGTACAAATGTACAAATGTACATAATATATAATACATAATCTGTACTAAATTTATATTTACATATATGTTGCCATTCAAATTATATTTTGTATTAAAAAAAAAAAAGAAGTGTACCATTGTGGCAGTGTGCCAAAATATTTGTAACTACAAGCAATTTTTAAAACAAAGAGTTGCGATTTTATAGTATTCTAATTTCTAGCCCTCAACAGCTCAACCCTGTCACTTATTTAAAATAATAAAATATAAAAAGCTACTTATTGTATATTATAATCACTGACATGATTTGGGATGTGGAAAAGTTTTTAAATAGCCAAGTTCATATAACAAAAGAGTATCAAACACCTAAAATGATTCGACAAAATGATTCCACTCTAAATTTAGTCAATCAATTAACCGGTCGATCTAAATGGATGAAAATTAATTGGTACCTATATCATAAGTTTTGATACACATATTATGTAACTATACGCAAAAGGTATATCATTCACTGTATTTATCATAGTATGCGCGTGGGCATCCAACTAATATCATTGTACAGAACAACAAATCTACTGGAAAATGTAAAATTATAAAAATAACCTGAAAAGAAGCACTGCTTAGTAACTATACATTGTTAGATACATAATTATTTTCATAGCCATCTTTGGTGGCGTATTTCAAGTTTTTAATAAGAGGAGGCAAAAGTTTTGACCTTCCCATATAACTGAACTAAAAAAAATAACGCCCCAGCTAATTTACATTTACATTTTTATCTCGGTACAATTCTAATCTTACATAATAGTACCTAACTTTATACGTGTCTAAATCAAAAATAGCATCATTTTGTAGCAAAAAATAAATAGAGGATCTAAATAATTATGGTACCTACTTCAGTGGCGTCATTTCATATTTTTTAGAGGAATCGAACTAATTAAATTACCATATAAAACTCGACTGTTAAAACGTAGTTGAAAAATCGTAAAAATGTTCATAGGTACCTTTAATAATACAGGTTTTTTCAAAATCATGGATAAATTTAAGTGTGATAGTTTTGTTTTTAAAATTTTTATATCATAATATTCTCGTACATAATAATTATAAAACTATAAATATTAGGTATTATCGTGAGAATAATTTCTAGTGTTTACACATTACACACAAATATATTTCCTCAAAATCAAATAAAATATGATTTATTATGTCATCAACAACCAGCCCAATAACTGAACGATTACAGTCAGACAAGGGCAAATGCCTCCCCCCCAATAAAAATGATACCACTGATAAATCTCACGATTTACAAGAAAAAAGAAGTTGATATCATCAAATGACACCCATTATACATTATTACAAATCTAAATAATAAAAAACATGTTTTTAACTCAAATATTTTTTCTATAGTAGTATTTATTTATTGTTTGATGTATTATTTTTAAGTCAATATTTACTTGCCATACAGTCTTATAGAACAATTGAATAGCGGTGCAAATAGGCAGTTAAATTAATCTAAACATTTTGAAAATTATATTTAAAAATATAGCCATATAAGTACTTACTTGAACGTTTCAAGCCCCCCTAGTAATATTTCAGAATTATATTTACTAAAATAATTGTTATGTTTTATTTAAATATCAAATTCGTTAAAATTTAAACTCTAAACGTTTATTTTACATATGTGCTTTTATTTTTTTAAAGTTTTTAGGAATAAGTGACCACCTTGAGGTACACCAGAGAACATATTATAGTAGTAGGAGGCGAGTATGTTTAATATTTATATAGGTTTCACTTTATAGATACCTCATACCTACTACCTACTACCTACTCATTAGATATTATAGACGAAACACGGAAACATATTTTGGCCATTTGATTTATAAGTATCTATAACTAGTATAGCTGTGTAGGTAATAAAAGCTGTTTCCACAGTTAATGAACAAAAATATTCCAGGTATTCAGTATTTCTTTTATGGTATAACAATAAAAAATGATAATCAAACTAACGCAGTGGAATTATAAGAAAAAAAATAACATTACTGCATAGGTATTAGGTGGTGATTCATTGAACAGTGAACATGGTTCCAATGAACACTTTTACCGTTTCTTGTCTTCGGGAAGAATCTAAATACATTTTTCCCAATATTTTATTTGAAGATGTGTAATATTTATTTATAATTTGGGGTGATCTATCATCTATGTAATGTAAGACACAATTATTAACGTTTTCGAAAACATTTTTTTTCCACATAACTTCAAATCGTTAAAAAAACATTTTTCTAAGATTAAAAATAGTTTTTACTTTTTACTTTTTTTAATGACAACATGCATTTTTAATTCCTTTTATCAGAGAAAAACATTTTTGAGAGTACTTCGGAGAATGAAAATCAAATTTTGAACAAGTAGTGTATGAGTTACTTATAACTTATAAGTATTTAAAGTTTACATGAACAAATTACAGAGTGGTAGGAACTAGGAGTAGTATGACTAGTCCACTGTACACAGTACACACACACGCCACTTCACCGCAAAATGTTGGTCCACTGCTCCGCTCGTCTACCTTTAAATATGTATGTATAGCTATAGGGCTGGGACTGATGCTTTTTGAATTGTATTCCTACGCGATGCTCGTTGTATAACATATTATACAAATACGTTTCATATACTATTTTTTAATCAGAATAAGAAGCTTGTATTTTTAGAGAATTTCTGATTTTACAGAATTTATTTTTGATTTTTATCTAGAGCATTATACATTTGTTAAATTTTTAGGACAAAACTCAGGTTTTTTTAAATTTAATTGAAAAATATTAACTTCTAAAATTAGCTTTGTAATATGATCAGAAAGATTTTATCTAATCCAATATTATTAACCGTCATCTTTCGACACAACGTCAAATCTAATTTAAGAGTGGCGACAACAAAAAAATTCACGATGCACCACAGTCCACAACCCACAAGAAACAACAAATTAACAAGACGTGTGAACCAAAATTAAGAGAATTATAAAATACGTATTTTAATTTTACACAAAAATAATTTTTCTGATCAATTTAATAATAATGATAGAGGATTTCTACGATGTAAAAAACATGTTAAAATAAGGACCACTCTGTATGTAGCTTATGATGCTAATTAAATTATTGCACGAGTCGAAATGTCGAAACTTATTAAGTATTTATAAACGTTGAATTTACAAGTAGTAAAATATCAAATGGTTATTAAAACTAAACCTTCCCTACTCAATTATTAAATTACAAAGACGGTACCTTCACCTATGTATAATAATATTACCAATTTAAAGTAAATACCTATACATAAATTCAATTTAGTTTTATAAAAATATTCTTTAACTACTGACTACTGGCCATGGGCATTTAAATATTTGAGATTTTTACGATAGATTAATAAGTAAATATGTGTTGACGATTAACTATACACATTATATGCTAATATTTTAATTATCTAACTAATGTGCCGTAGCCATGTTTCTTTTTTTTTGGGGGGGGGGGTGGGGCTTAAACCCTAACCTCTCCAAGCTACGGCACTGAATTCTAACATATTATATTATTAGGTATGTTTGGTACTGGAGTAGAAGAGCAGAGGTTCTCAGCCTTTTATATCCACATACCACTAACACAGTTTAACAGTTTAAAAATGTTTATGTACCACTTTCATGACCACTTCTTTATGAAAACATAATCTATTTTTTGCATATTAAAAATGTATGCGTTATGTTACATACTGTTGAAGTACAGAGTTCCCGATAAATAGTTACAACAGCAGTTGATAACATTAATAATTCATATGCACGATTTTTTAAAATTATTTTATAGTTAAAAATTTATAAAATATTCAACTTTTAAAGCTAAGGGTTGAACATTTACAACAAGTTTCCACCCAAGTAGGTTATTCTGGAATCAAAAAATATATAAGCAGTTTTTTTTTATAGTAATTTTATGTTCGAATCTGGACTAAATTACATAATAAATAACCAAGAATAACGGTTTAAGTTATTTTGTAGTAATTAAAAAATGTTATTCGTGGGTACTTAAAACTTCTAAAGTACCTATATTATTATATTATGTAAATATGATAATATGCAAATAATATTAATTAAACTTACCGGCTACAGTAGTAAATACTAAATAGTAATAATAACAATTAAAATAAAATATAAAATATCCTGGGGCGACAAACCGTCTCCGCTCAAAATCATTTTGCGTATACAATGATATATCTTTGAATTCAAATTTAACACCATGCCTACATTAGAGTGATCCACTCGTAAAGTTGTAACCAATTGTACAGTAGAGCATTACCCACTTACCCGCTCTTTTTGATGTTAATGTTTACTCATTAAAAATAAGTACTTATCCGTTATACCGATCACCGATGGTCACCATTCCGTTATTTTTATTTTAGTTATTATTTACTATTTACTATTAATCAAAATAATTATGGATAAAATAAAATGTATTTTTTCGCACTAAACCTGCAGGCTGCATTTTATTCTATTTATTGCACTGTACCCTGTGGAACCCAATGTGCGAGTAGCGAGTATGTGCTCCTGGTACTGAATTTTGTACTTCACGCCATGTTTCCATCAATCCGTACTACCAACGACGTTCTCAACGTGCGTCGTGCACCACACCATGAAATCGATTTTCGGTATCAGCGTCCAGGAAATCATGTTCATTTTCGGGCAACTAATTTCACTTTCATATTTTAACTTGTAAGCCATCCAGCAGGACGGGCATTCCAACCAGGAAAGCGGACCGACAACAAAAGCGTTTTTGAACCTTCTTTTAGTTACTTATCCAAGCCATAAAAGTATTGTTGATGAAACACTCAAATATATTTTCAAAAGTATACTTATATAGACACAGTCGCACATATATTATTTTTAAAAGTATATAAGAATTTAAAATAAAATAAAAAAATTACATACTTCATGTCTTTACTACTAAAAACAAATTTTGATTATGAGATATTGAGATGAGGGAAATATTATGGACTATATATACTACTACACTCTATGAGAAAAACGAGCCGACGAACCAATAATGGATATGAAATCTAGATGGCGTTGTAACGCGACTTTATCTGTGATTGGACAAAAATGTCAGATAGATGATAACAATGTTTACAACGGATTGATAAGTTTTAATGAAGTTGAGACTTGTGAAGTTGCGAGTTCTGAAGCCACGGCACCACAGGGCCACAGCAGCACGAGTGGCATCCCCACCACCTTTCCAGTGTAAAACCACGAATCAGCGCACCCACGATTACCGCCGTACCATCAATTATTATTATTATTATAACCATCAATGGTAGCCTACCTGTCTACATAATAAACATTTTCCGTAGTTCCGTTGTTGAAAAGTGAAAACCGGAACGTAAGTCATTTTGTTTTTACCTGGACGAATGGGTTATGACTACGTTTGTTTTATTTCTAAAAATGTAAATGATTTTTCGAAAAAAATCCAATTTGTTCTATACTCGGGTCGTTGATTATTCATTTCGTTTTCCCTACGTGCCGTACTTAGAAATAACACCCACATCTGTAGATAATCTAATCACGTTAAGCCGAGACTTGAGAGTAAGTACCTGATGTGTCATGTACAGTGTGTGTGTGTATGACATATTGTGTTTGAGTGTTTGTTTATTTATTACAAATCATATTGCTCATGCAACTATTTTGAACCGACTTGAAGTCTACATGACTGATTCCATTTTCTCACAACTTTTCAAAACATTGCTGCCTATTTTGCCCGTCTTTGGTTTGATTGTTTTAAATTTCTTGAGTGGCTACCACCTACTTCCACACCATTATTATTTATTTGTATTCTGTACCTACACTCAAAAATATGAAATCAAAATCAAGTAATAACATTAATGTCATACAAATCCCACTGTATTTCATTGATTTGGTTAATTTATGGTTGGAAAAAAATCGCTTTGATGGTACACATCATGATTGAAAATGGACCAATTAACAATTAAATAAATAATTATAAATGTCATTGATCTCAGTGTGATTTTTAGAAACAAATGGTTTCATTAGACCATTCAACCCTATGTTTTTAAAATTGAGGTTTATGTTTTACATACTTCATCTTGTAGTAGTTGCCTCACACTTGTATTTATAGAACAAACTGTAATGTTTGCTTTTTCTTTCTTTGTGTCTTTCTTTAGAAAAGATTAAATGATATTAAGGTGGTATTCCTTGTATTTTTATCTGCATTAATTGCTAATAGCTTATGAATTTACAAAATTGATTTCTCACTTTTTCAATCTTTAGAATGTTTACATTTAATACTGGTTTCTATAATATTCTAGCATATTTTAGGTGTTAAGTTTGATTCATTAGTATATCTTTTACAAATCCTGACATTTGTTTAGGTTTTTTTAACAATATATCCAAGATCTTTAATTAAATGTCTAAAAGTTTGTTGATCTAAATCTATGTAAAATTATCCGCCATCAGGATAGTGGACTATATAAATGCTATGGTGCAAACGTATTGGTGCAGTATTTTTTTCACATCATTTTTGGGCGAATGAATTTTTTGTGTGTGTCCATAATTGGTGTATAGTTCACATTTTAATTGAAATCAATTTATTTTATATTATGTATGTCTTTTTTTTTAAATGTCATCTTTTTTGATTTGGTTGGATTTACATCCATGCCATTAATTTTGAACCATTTGATGATATGATTAATGTAAATTACGGATGTCATCTAAATTGTCTATGTATAATGTATATAAATGCATAACTCTTTTGTGTCACCTGTTTAAATTCATTGATCCTTATAACAGTAAGTCAATCTAGTCCGTGCTTTTTGAATGGTTCTTTTTATAGGTACCTTTCTGATTAAACCATTCACCAAAAAATTATCAAATATATGCTATTATCCAACATGCATATTTTATTATTGCCTGTCATTTTAAAATATTTTAATAAATGTTAATAAAAAAAAATTTATTTTCAGTTGGTATTTCTAGAAGAGAAAAATGCTTGCCTGTGCAGAAATGTCAAAAATGGACACTTGCGGCATTCAACAAATTGAGCTCAGATCAAACATTATTGTTGATGGTTTATTTTTTAACGAAACAAATATTAAATTAAATAGTACCAACAATCAAGTGATTCTATCAGATTCGTATATTGATCAAAAATATATTCCAACAGAGATTCACAACAAATTGGAAAAGGATGATTATGATGTTTGTAATGATAAATCAAAAAGACTTAAACCTAAATGTAAAAAAAGTCAACAAATGTCCTTAAATAAACTAAATCTTGATACTCACCTCGAAATTCAACTACCTATAAAACAGTCCTATACATGTACTGTTTGTCAAAAACTATTTCACTACAAATACCGATATGATGCTCACATACAAAGTCACAGTGTTGACAAACAAAAGTATAAGTGTAAAATTTGTGATAAATCTTTCACACGCAAATACCATATTAGCATCCATAATAGAACACATACAGGTGAAAAACCTTATAAATGCGACCTATGTAAGAAATTGTTTTCAATGAAACATCATCTTTTGTCTCACATCAGAACTCATACAGGTGAAAAGCCTTACACTTGTGACATGTGTAATGAATCATTTACCCGTAAAGATATACTGAGCAAGCATGTTCGAACTCACATAGGCGAACAGCTTTTTACATGTGTAAAATGTCATAAACAATTCTCTATGAAAACATACACAGGAGAGAAACAATATTTCTGTCATTTGTGTCAACAGATCGAGCCTCAATCAGATATGATAAACAACATAAATACTAATATTAATAATAGCTTTGGCTTAGAAATGTATGACAATGATAAACTTATTGAAACAACAGACATCATTGACATAAAATATGAAAACAACATAGAAAATAGTGACAACGAGCCAAAGATTCTAATGTCAGTATCAAACATGTTATCATATCAACCATATAATGAAATGTTGAATAACACTAAAGAATTTCAATCTGATGTCAAATGTCTGGAAACATTCTGTAGTGTAGAGTTTAAAGAAAAACCGTATAAATGTCACATGTGTCAGCAATTGTTTTCTAATAAACAAAACCTCGATTCTCACATTAGAAGTCATACTACAAAACAACCTTATACATGTACAATTTGTAAAAAATCATTTTTCTATAAGTATCGTTTTGATGCCCATATAACAAATCACAAAATGGACAAGTATAAATGTAAAATTTGTGAGAAATCTTTTACCCGTAAATACCATTTTGATACTCATTATAGAATACATACTGGTGAAAAACCTTTTAAATGTGAAATATGTCTAAAATTATTTTCACTAAAACATCACCTTATATCACATATTAGGACTCACACAGGCGAGAAACCGTTTAATTGTGAGCTTTGTAATGAATCATTTCGCCGTAAAGATATACTTAGTAATCATATTAGGATTCACACTGGAGAAAAACAATTTGTTTGTGATTATTGCGAAAAACAGTTCTCTATGAAACAATATTTAATAAGACATATGAGAACACACACTGGAGAAAAACCATTCATTTGTCATGTGTGTCAAAAAAGGTTTTCACAGCGATCTGGACTTGATTGTCATATACGAATCCACACTGGGGAGAAACCGTTTCAATGCAAGGTGTGTAAGAAACTATTTTCTAGAAGAGACAATCTAACCATCCATATGTCGACCCATTATTCAAGTATAGAAGTTGACTTTTCAAAATGATAAAACTATTAATTTTATTCACCATTTCTAGTCCTAACTATCTCAACCAGGAAACATCAAAACTTGCATGTTTATACGTAGGGAAATCCTTTTTATTTATACACATGTTATCTTATAATTAATCGTTTTATTTAATTGTTATGTAATTATAATTCAAATTTTATTCTTCATTGTATTAAATTTCATCACTTAGAAGTAAATTTAACAATTTATACATTTCAAGATCAAACTAAGTTTTAGTGTTCCGAGTCCCAATAGTTAATATATTACATTATAGTACCTATTTGCAATGTTTTTTTTTGATATTAAATACTGCTCGACCATAACATTTCTTCGTGATTTATTTAGCATGCACATTTTGATGTTTGTCAATTATGTTTTAATGTATATATATATAATATATTATTATTATGTATAGAGTAATTACCAGTGTAGTTTTAATTATAACAAATCTCTATGGTCAAATACAAATTAATTCATAATAATTGTAAATTAAAATAATAAAACACAATTATTTTATTCTAGTATGTTGGTCCAATAGAAAAACGAATAATCACAATACTTAAGCGACTTGAATTTTACAGAAACGATTCATGTTGCTTCTGATGTAACAAATACACTGAGTTATAGTGTTTCGTTCACTGCGCATTAAATCTCCCATCAACTAAAATCAGTTAAATATTTTTTGTAATACATTATACATGAGATAAGCTTAAAAATCTACTTACAGCTTCCAACAGAGCACCCTTTCTTTCAACAACTTCAGTTCGTGGTGTCCTCATTGGTGGTATTTTTTTGAATGGTTTCGATTCCTTTTTGGAAGTGTTCTTACGCTTTTGACCACGATCATTAGTGGTTTTTACACACTTTTCGTCTATTTTAGAACATACATCAATGTTTACATCTGTACTTACTGCTTCACAGTCATCAATTAATGTAGTGGAATCAACTTTGTTATTTATTAGTAAAGTAGAAATTGATTCTTCACTTTTCTTTGTTATTACAACTTCTTTTACTGGAGTAGAACATGGTTTCTCATTTTTTATTGATACATTTTTATTATCTGGTGATCCTGATTTTCTGACTATAGGCATTTCTTCAGGTGGTTCGTTGTCGCTTTGATTATCACTAGATTGATCATATTCCTCTAATAGTTTTAAAACAACTGGCTTATTGGTTTCTTCTAATTGATCGTCTTTAATATCTGCATGCAATTAAAATAAACAATTTAAATTATAACATTTAATTAATAAATATATTGCTCATTGCACACATTGGAAGTGATAAATCACTACATAAATACAATTAATTACATACAACAGTTTAATGTAAAAATCATGCTCAGAACCATCTAAAATCATTAGAGAGTAACCATTAAACATTTAATTTATAAAAGAGTTTAAACACAATTTTTTGAAAATTATCCTGTACGTGATTAATTATTACATTTTAATAATATTCAATACCATAAATCAAACACTTTGAAATTATAACGTATTATTAAACCACTATGTTATTTAATATTTATGTTTAAGAATACAAAAAAAAAATTGTATGATTTTAAAGCAAACTAAAAGAAAGTGTGCAGATAGGTACAGATTGGCTGAACATTATGTGACCTGTACATCGCTATAATGGATGTGTTAAAATGTAATTCAATGATATTTAAATATTTTATTATCATTATACACAATAAACGATTCTGAACAAAGATAGCCTGTCAGCCTATAATACAAAATATATATTTAATAATTATATTGCAATACAAGAAGTTAATTTTTTTATTAGTAACACGAACAGTTGATTTCATTTTTGCCGAAAACATTGAATTTGAAAATTATGCTGGTTAAAGCATGAAATATTTATGAGAAACCTTGCCGTACATTCATAGTAATCAAAATTGAATACGTCAAATAATTAAGAAAAATAAACCATGCCTATATAAGATGCTGAAGTAAACAATTGAAGCATTTTTGTTGGCATAAATGGTGGTGACAGACAAAAAAAACACATCGTTGTAAAATAAATACATTGCTTTGCTCAGATCTAAAACAAAATGTTAGGTACTAAGTGATTTTAATTAAAAGAATAGATACAATTTAAGAAAATTGTATATAGTATAATATTAATTGTAACTTTGACAATCAATATTCAGATACAGTAAAATAATATTGGAAAAACAATATTTTATCACTTAAAATTAAAATTAATTTAATTTAGGGGATTGCTTGTGGTGAATAGGGCCATTATTTTAATAAACTCAATAAGTGTGAAAAAAAAGTAATGCATCTAGTCTTTAAATTCAAGTTCTATAATTATACTGTAAATGTAATATAAAACCAATTACCAATTATCCCAGCAAAGCGTTTCAAGTTTCCGTTCATTGGTTCTTCAATAGGTTGTATAAATTCACCATTAAATCTTTGTCTTTTTCTGTTATTAAGACGTTTATTTCCTAAACACAAGGACACTAGATTATTATATATTATAAAAATTACAAATGTTTACTACTTCATCATAATAGATAATTTATCAGTTACCAGAATTCTTAGATTTATTATTTTTATTAAACCTCTGGAAATCTTCATCTGCTATACGTTCCCCTCTTTTATTTTTTTCATCCTCTACATCTACTTTTATTTGAATGGTTTCTTTAGTTGGCCATTTTCTGAAAATTGTATACTAATTGTTACAAATTTGATAACTGGAATGTTTTTCTATACTCTGTGCCAGGAATGAACATTACCGGTTTGCATCATGCAGACGGACAGCAGCGACAGGTCCGAGACCCAATTTTCCCCACTTTATCAGCAAAGGTATAGGTTGTATAATTGTATTACATAATTTTTTTTTTTATACTTAAGGTTTCAGTATGTACCATTAAAACTCAACAATTATATAATTATTATATAAATCATGGCATCAAATATTGCCGAATATACCCTGAAATTAACAAACTGTCGACGTTGAGTGGGGAATGAAGGATTCGGATGAGTTTTGGTTGAGTCACGGTAATGTTTTTGCCTGGCACAAGTAATAAGTATAATATACCTAAACTGCAATACTCACTTTTTTCTTTCCTCAATCCATTTTTGAACAGCGTCCGAGTTATTACTATATAACACTTTCTTATGCAGTCCTAATCGATGATGCAAATTTTGATGTTCTTTAACTGCTTTAGCATGTCCCACAAAATCACAATCGCCTAATTCACATGCTACTTGATTTTTATCTTTTTTAGATACAAAATTTCCTTTACTAGGAGACCCTTCTCTAGTGCGATAATTTTGATATTGCTGTCTTGGTTGAAATTGAAATCTATTACCATTTTGTGATTGCTGATATCTTGGATTTTGTTTGTTAAAAGGAAATCTTTGTTGTCCTAAAGGTCTAAAAGAAGGCCTTTGATTAAATTCATGTATAGGTAAATTATATGAAGACTGCTGTTGTGGATAACATTGATCTGCTGTTAATTTGTATGGTTGTTTCAATGATTCAGGACTTAGGGCTTGAGGTTGATATATATTATTTTGTGTTGGACTAAAACCAGGACTGGGAGAATGGTATGGAGAGCTCATTGGTTGATTGCAACTTTGATTGGCCAACTGAAATGGGGGTGCAACAGGATGGTTGAAGTTTTGAATAGGAGGTGGGTGGTTGTAGTTTTGAATTGGAGGACAATTGTTATAATTTTGAATAGGGGGAGGTTGTCTATAATTTTGATTAGGAGGTACATATATTTGTCCAGATGTTCTATAGGGAGGTACTGACAGTTGGTTGAAACAAGGACTAGCAGATGGAGGTGGATATTTAGGATTTGGCGATGTTTCTATATGTTTATTTTGGAGAGAAGGTTGATATGATGGTTTTGTTTGTTCAAAATTAGGGTTAACAGGTTGATAAAAAGGTGGAGGTATTGCAGTATCAGGAACTTGGTACGCATGTATTGAGTGGTTATGATGTTGTCGGGAAGGTTGATAAAATGATCCTGGTGGTGTAAACTGTTGGGAAGGTGATTGAAATCGTGGACCAAATTGTTGCTGTTGAAAAGGTCTAGGAGTTTGATATGACTGTGATTGTTGATAGGCTCCATTTGGTGTGAAAGTTGTTTGATTGTTTGGACGATACATTTAAGAAGAATTTAATCCAATAATTTCTGAAATAAATATTATAAATTATAATTTCAAACACAAAAGTTAGTAATAATAACAACAGTGACTTTATTTTTATATAACAATGTTTTTGGGTACATTATTCACATCATAAAAATATAAGACTTATGAGCAGAAATTGGAAATGATGGTACTAAAATGTATCTCTTTACTTAAAAATGTCAAAATATGCTAAATAGTACTAACATGTAACAAGTTAGTTTATATTTGTATTATTTGTGAAATTAGTATGTATTATAATTTATAACTAAATGTGATATGTACACAAAGGAGGGATGTCACTAGTGTTATTATTTTAGACCAAAAAAATTGTAGGGTAGTAAAATTTCCATACAAAGAGATTTTTTTATTAGGTTAATATGAAAAGTTAAAACAAAAAACAATAAACAAAGAAATAAATAAAAAAGAAAACAAAAAACATTTAATTTCAATAAACGAGCTTTTCCAAAAACTCTTAACAAAAAAAGCACGTAAAATTTGAAATAAGCAAAATATCACTAAAAATTGTAAATAGGTAAAAAATTATAAAAATAAAATGTTGTATGCATCGGGGAAGTGGATCAAATTAGTATCTTACTTTGGATAGTCTAAGACTTACTTAAAAAAAAGCATTTGCTACAACTTCCAAACCCTGCTTATGAGGTACAAAGCAAAATTTAAATACAGTTAAAACTCCTAATTCTAAATGTTTAGCATTAGAATAATATAATAATAATTGATATTATATTCAGTTTCACATTTATTAAAAATAATAGATGATAAATTGTTATGAAATAGTATTGGCCTTGAAATAAAAATAATAATAATTCAAGTTTAAGAACTTAAAAAATATTATCATAACTTATTCGAAATTGATCTCTGAGAAAAACAATAGATTATCTTAAGCTGTAGGTATAATCAGATCTCAATAGATTGATCGCAGTTAGATAGTTTTGAACACAGCAATAATCAATATTTTTGTAAATTATTTAAAGCATAAATGTATAACTAACTTACCTATATTATTGTAATATAAAAAAAATACCAAGTTTAATGTCGAACTGGATAAAAGACAGAATTTAAATTTAAAATTGAGTATTAACAATCAGCAACTGCAATCAGTTAGGCCGTATATGCTCGGTAGCTTACTCTAGGTTTAGTACAATACTTCAATAGTACTAATTGTTGTTACTATTCTCATCTGAACGGGCAAGTGCGCAACCGCGCAAAGAGTGAAGTCTGAACTCTGAAGCACGTGTTTGTGAAACACACTATCAGTAAATAATATCTTAGCCCGTGGTAATCACTCAGTTTCCCAAATCGCCAACCTTACGCGGTTATCAGATTTGTGATATGAAATAATCAGAGTTGCACTTGGTTGCACGGACACACTGATTTTCAACCTCATAATCAGAATAACAATGAACTTATTATTGTTCTTATCTCTGAAAAAAGTCTCAAGTCGTCTCAAGCTTTCAACTTGCTTTTTAATGCTTATTGCTTACTTATAAATTGTTGCCAGTGTTTTGTGTTTACTTTTGGTTGTTGTCAACCAGCAAATCGTTATGTATGAATCCAACAACTTTTTTCTAAACTTATTTAAAACTTAAGTCAATCGTATATTTCAATTAATATTAACTTATGACGACTACTAAAATGAATTATTCATCATTTTTAAACCTGATTGTCTTAATGTGCATTTTGTTTGATTTCTAATGGTTTTGTAACCTATCAATTATATTCATATTTGGTAAATAACTCAACACATTTAAAACTATTTTCACATCCATCTATGAAAATGCATTATATTAACTGGTTTATATGTTGCAGTAGTATTTTTTTTTATCAACATAATCTAGTCGAATTAGGTCGATATGGCTATTCAACAGAAGTATAGAAGAGAAGAAGTTAGTGAAGTTAGCTGCTGCTTAAAATATATCATATTCAGTTTTAATGTGTTATTTTGGGTAAGGTTTAAAATAAAATTGTTATCTTAACAATTATTTTAATATTTTAATTTTACAATTTTAGATGTTTGGTTTATCTGTGATGGCAGTGGGCGTTTGGGCATGGACAGAAAAAAATGCATTTAATAATCTCAGTAAACTCACACATTTAGCACTTGATCCTGCATTTGCTTTAATTTTAATTGGTAAGAAATACATTTAACACCTAGGTTATTAGTATAGACTGGCGTCCCGCTTTTCCTAATAATTGTGTGATCTACATAATATTTCTATACAACCATTTGGCCGCAAACGCAGGCCAGGTAGATATTAATATAAGTAAATAAAGAGTGCAAGTCTAAGTACTAAGGTAGTGTAATAATAGTACATAACCTACAGGAAGGGTATCCAAATAAACAGGCTTTGATATTTCATGAGAATGCTACAATTTGTGAGACATATAAGTAGTAACAAGCCATTAGGAGTTAGAACAACTATTAAATAAAATACAAAGTATAGTATGTTATAACACAGTTATAATAATATTTTACGCGGTAGATTATCGAAAAAGCTTCCACACCAAGATGTGCCCTCATATTGGGGCGTGGGCCGTAAGCATTTCCAAAACAATTACAGGTGTATGCAGCATTTGTGGGAATGATACTCTTATCAAGAGGGCTGGGAGAAGTAGTGAGTAGGCCTATATAAGAGAGCTCTGAACATCCCATATTTAGATGCATCTAACCTTTGACCAGATTCGCGAGACCACCTTCACTCCAGTCCGTCTTTTGGTTTTACTATTTTGAGCAGCAATTCGAGTCAACCGACTATTTTCTGACACTTAGAATGATTCACTATGTCGGTTATTTTGATACAACATAATAACTTCTCAGTTATCATGTTAATGTGTTTAATTTAGAGCATTTAAAATAAATTATACAATATACAAATGGTCTACGCTATCATTTCAACAAGCACACCTCATCCATTTCCTTGCGACGACACCTGTAGTCAGTAGATCACAACAGTATTCAGATGATGCATAATTTTTTTTTAAATTCTTTCAGGTGGAATAACTTTTATAATAGGTTTCACGGGTTGCATTGGTGCATTACGTGAAAATACATGTTTACTTGGAAGTGTAAGAATAATAAATTATTATATAAATTAATGAAAATTATGTATCAAAATAATATGCATTTTGTTTATTTCAGTATGCGGTTCTCTTAGCTGTAATTTTGATACTTGAGCTAACTGCAGGAGTATTAACATTTGTTTTTAAAGATTCTGTAAGTTAACTTTTTCCTCTTTTAGTAAACTAACTAATAAGTAAATATTTAAACATATTAACGAATTGATAAAAATTAGATTAAATCACAAGCCACTGAAGGACTTCAAACTTTCATTGTTCACTATAGAGAAGACCCTGATCAGCAGAATCTTATTGACTGGATACAGGAAGACTGGGTATCTTATATTTAATACAGTTTTAATATTTTTTCATAACGTTTATTATATATATATATTTTTTTTTTTATTGAAGTTACAATGTTGTGGAATCAAAGGTCCTGAAGATTGGGATTTGAACAATTATTTTAACTGTTCTTCACAAAAGGTTGGCAGCCGAGAAGCATGTGGAGTACCTTTTTCTTGTTGCAAACGTAAACTAAATGTAATCTAATATTTATGAGTTTATCAATCCTAACTGTGTAGTCCATACACATATTAAATAAATTCAATCATTATTTGCAGGAAATAGTAGAAAACAAACAGTGTGGATATGACGTTAGAAAAGAAGGATTTGTAAGTATAAAAATGGTGGTAGTTATTTATAATATGTTAAAACAGTACTAATTTATATAAATTATAAGACTAATACATTTTGTGTATAAAGTTCTAGTGAAATATATTATATTCTAGTACAGAGGTTCCAAAAATCGGGTCACATTAAGTTTTAAAATATTGTTTTTTAAATACAGGCTGATTTATCAAGCATGCTCCCCTCCTTTTTTCTTCAATAATGCACTTATTCAAAATCTTATCTTTTAATTTTTTAATATACTTTATACAGTAGATAATTTTTCTAATATTTTCGATGTATCAAAATCAAAATTTGTACGAGTAGTTTTTGAGTTATTTACCTTGTGTTCTAAGGATAGGAGGTCCATAATAATGAGTTAATAAGATATGAGGGCTATGGAGATTAATGAAAATAAAATATTGGAATGTCAATATTTTCAGAAAAATGAACTCAACCAAATTTTTTGAAAATAGTTAAATAAAAATTCTTTTTTTTTAACTTTTTACAAAACATTAAAATTTATTAAAACATGAAATATTTGTAGTTCTTGTCCCTGTGAATCTTATTTTAAAAAACCAGAATTATGAAATCTCCATTATTTCAGGGGATATTGCAATGATTAAATCCTCACGTGCCACCGTGTATAGGTAATCCGGTATTTCCGTGTAAATATATTGTACATTGGTGTTTGAATTGAGTTAAATTAATTAATTAATTGACAATTACAAGTGTATCTGTAACAGATGTTACCATAGCCCCAAAAGACTATGTTGTTGCAAATATCATCATATTGTTAACGTTTAAACATTTTCCATAGTGGATTGTACCATGAAAAGTTTGGGAACCTCTGATCTAGTGTAATCTAATAAACGCTTTTAATAACTATTAACATTTAAAAACTTCTAATATTGTCATATTATGACAATTATAGTATGCTGAAAAATGGACAAGCTTAAATCTACCAACGCAAACAGGTGAAAGAAATATATATGAAAGAGGTTGCATGCGGGCTGCTGAGGAATGGGTTGAGGATAATTTTATTGGAGTCTTAACAACAGTTATGACTGTCACCATATTACAGGTATTCGGTATTTCTCGCTAACTAGGCATGTGCTTTCTGTTTTTTGATATTTGGTTGTTTGGTGTATTTATTATTTATGTGCATGTTTGTTCTGCGTTTTCAGTATTTTGTATTTTCATTTTTTTTTTTTTTTTTCCAATGCTTGTGTGTAATTTTACATAGACCGACGATGTCGGAAAACGAGTGGACCTCATCATTAATGAAAAAGGATGTTTGCAATCTGGAGAAGAATGGTTAGAAAGAAACATGCTTTTTATAGCTACTGTATGTCTTATATCAGCTTTTTGTAAGGTGAGTTAGATTAATTAAAAATGTTTCAGTCCTAAAACAATATACCCTTTGAATAACTGAAAATATATGTTTATATATTAAAAAAGAATGCTGCTTGTTAATTAAAATGTTATATTTTATCTCCCTATTGAGTATGAGATAATTTTTGCACGGTAATTGTAATGAAAGTTCCTTAAAATACCCTCATCATTTTCAAAAAGTATATTAAATAATTTAATGTTAGTCTACAACACGGACAATTAAAATTTCACTTTAAATTCTTGTTTGTTATTACAAAATAGTTTAAAATGTTGTAAACTGATCATCCATCACCCCGGCAGTTAGCTGACCCATACAACCTAGAAGTATTATTGACAAAATAGATTTCATGAAAATAAAGACAAGGAATATGGATGTATACTGTTTTACAGTTTACTTGAAAAAGCTACAAAAATAAATTTTCTTTCGAATGTTTATTAAATAATACATATATTTATTTAATAAATGATTGTACTATATTTTTATTCAATTCAAGCAAACATTTGAAATAACTCAAACAATCTATCTTTCTGAGTTAACATAATATGTACATAACAATTAACAATTGTATTCTTTAATTTGAGTAAAATCACCATGAAGTTAGTGATAATAATAAACTCAATAAAAATGTAGCTATATTAGTGTTCGTACATTTTTTAATTTGTGATTATTGACATTATAATGTAATCTTACTATTTTTTTATTATTCTCTAATTAAACCGAGCACAAATCACCTTAAGATCTCTTGCTTATTATTTTAACTTATGAATTTTATAAGATAAATCTACAGTTGTTATATCTACAATTGTAATGTAGTAATGTTGGTAAACTATTCTGTCTGTGCACGTTTTTAAAAAATATTATTTAAATGTTTTGAATTTGGTTATGTCAGCACATTCATTTTTAATTTGATTGATGTGTTAATATTGTTTAATTTTAAATTTCAGATTTTAGGCATATGCTTTGCTCAAAATCTACGTGCTGACATATTTGCGCAAAAAGGCAAGTGGCACTAGATGGAATTCTTATGAAATGAACAAAAAAGATTATAAATATATATACTTTTTTAAGAGGTTTTTAGCCTAATCAATATTTTTTCATGACTAAAATAGTGATAAAAAGATTGTAGTCAAACTCTTTAGTGATTAATTGAATATGTTTGTATGAATTTTTTTATCCAATTTTTAGGTTTTCGATTAAGTTTGATTGGCAATTTTCATAACAATGTATCATTAATACCCTATTATACATCACACACTCACACATAACTAGATTAGATTTATAGACACCTTGGTAAAGTTATTATACTATTATTTAACAAAAACTAACTATACATTTATGTATAAATATGTATTTGAACTTGAATTCTCTCATAAAATACATTTTATGTTTACTACCGTAGTCAGATTGACTAATTTGAACGCACAGTTATGCTTTTGAATTTTCATTTTTTAAATTGTATTTCGTTATTCCTCGGTTATCTATACTTCTTACTTTTTAATTTGTTCAAAGATGGATTATGTGGTGAACCAAAATTACAACTCTTGTTATTTCTGTACTATGTTTCTTTATTTACCAAACTTAGATCTCTTTTAGAACATTTTTTTTATTATTGTAATACAATTTAATTTTTAATTTTGCTCAAAATATCTCAAAGTATTATTTTATAAATGGATATGTAAATTGTATTAGATTTGTGCCAAACAAATTGTAGTTTTAACATGCAGTTTATTTTCAATGTATTTTTCTAAGTTAAGTTCCTACTAGTACTATTTACATAACCTAAAATAGAATTATGCTTAATTTCACAAGTATACTAATAAATAATAATTAAACAATAAATGTATTACTAACTCTACTAACAAATTTAATCTATACATTCCATAATATTATATGTATTCTTTTGTAAAAAATTCAAAAATATTATTACAATGAATAAATGATCTGTAGTTTTTTAATAATATTGTTTTACTTTCAATTACAGACACTTAGCAATTGTAAAATATCTAATCAGTGTCGGTCTCGTGTGGTTTTCAGTAAGTGGGTCCCAAATATTTTACTCCATCATCATAATTTATAACTTAACTGATAATTTAATGCTTGCTATATTATGTCATTATTACATACAATAATATTGTTCTATATTATTACGGATTTTGACGATAAGAACTCAAAAAAAAAAAATAGAACTTGAGCACAATTAATTTGTACCTTACAGCTCACACCACCATGTGATTCATGCTCAGACCCTCTTCTTATCTGAGGCAAGATCAATTTAAGTATCCAAAGTTCAATTAATGCTTAACAAGAAATGTATTGATGTGATATCCAATATTTATTAGTTTGTATTTGCCTTTGTAATGGATTATAAAAAACTAAAACAACTTTAAGATTTGGGTATATTTTTCAACATTTCTGGCGGCTATGAATTGAAATTTATTTTTACTCAACTGGCATAATAATATTATTATAATAATAACACATATTATGTGCAGGAAGGATTATTTTTCTTAAGAGTAAATTTGTTTTTAGATTCTATTAAAATTAACTTGTTACAAACAAATAGATGTGTGAAAATAAAAAGGTTTAGACCTCTTAACAAGGCCGTAGCCAGAAAAATATTTAGGGGGTGGGGGGTAGTGTATAAATATGTTATATTAACTATATAATAAAATATGAAAATATAATTTTAATTAAATTAATCTTTATTTAAAAAATAATTAAATCTTGTTTCAAAAAAAAATTCGGGGGGGTTGAACCCTACCCCCTCCTCCCTCACAGACTACGGCCTTGCCTCTAGAGCTTCTTAAAACAATTGGGTTGGATATACTTTGGTAAAAACTCTGGAATGATTATAAATTTTGGCCGACTTAGTCCCCTTTCAAAATGTTATTCACTTTAATCACTGTTTATGCTGGTAAGTGTATACACATGTAGTTGATTATGGCAGTGAGCTTGTGCTAGAAGATTACTTTTTAAATACCTAAATGAATGATCTATTATTAGCAACTCGGTATAAATTTTTATTTTACCCCGTGATTGTCAATTAAATCAACAGATACTAACATTTTTTCATTTAATTTAATTTTAGTTCTTTAAAAATAATCTTATTCAATATTTTAGATGGTTCTAGCATGATATGCTTATGTGTCCCTTGTCACCAAATCTAATTTTAATGATTCATGAAACAAACCAAGTTAGTACCATGAATTTTCCTAGATAAATTTAACTGTCCAAGTTTAAGTTAAGCAAAATGCAAAGTTTGTGGATATAAATAATAATAATATATTATGTTATTACTGCGGTGTGCGACATAGCCTTACACAGTTACACTAATATATTTCAGCAAGTGTATGTCAGACTGCCAATCATAAAAAGGCCCGTCGGGTCTCGAGCACCTAAATCTAAAACATTAGTTATAAGTCAAGAGATCTTTACCGTTAATTAAAAACAATAATAAATTGAACCGAACAGTCCATTTAATGATCTTTCAAAAGATAAGTTAAGGGCTTATAATCAAATAATTCTGCATGATTTTCTTAGATTCTGATTCTCAAAAACATTATCTTGCCCTTTGAAGTGTTTCCAAATGCATTTCAAGTATATAACTAGAAAAATATATAATTTATTATTTTTTTTTTAATTCCTCGCAATTCAACTGTATTAATAAAATACTTTTAATTGGTGGCAACATAAAAGCCATTATTTACACATCTTTATTTAAATGTGTGAAGAATTATTCAACTTGAAAAAAAAACTTCCAACAAAAATTTGACCATATTAAAATAAAATAGAAAATTTTAAATGGAAATTCTTGAGATATATTACGTTCAATAAATTATTAAAAGGTAGGGTAAAATAAAAGATCGTATATGGTGAAAAAATGCTTTAATTTTAAAATAAAATAAGTATTGAAATGTTTAAACCCAACATTTGAACAAATAAATACTAGTTAAATTAACATATTTTTGCCATTATGATAACATTTTTTACTCTTAAATTATTATCTAAACAAAAATAATGAAAAATTTCAAAATTAATAAGTTATTTATTAACATAAACAAATTTTAAGATAACACTATTATTAAATTTTACCATTCTGAAATAAAAAAAAATGCCATTTAAGAAATTATATTTAGTTACTAACGTTTAAGTATTTTATAATTGATGAACTGATATTTTTATTAGTAAGGCATGACTGCCACATAAATTCAAAAAATAAAATAATTGGAGACATTTACAATAGGATTTGATATAAAATAAAAGTTCTGTTTTGAACACTTGTCATCTTTATCCATATTATAATAGTTAAACACCATTTTTGTTTTCAGGGGCATGCCATGTAAGTCTTTCTTCATAGAACTTTATAACAATTTGTGGGCACATCAAATTAGCCTCCTTAGCTGAGATTAAATCAGCTTCTTCAATTCCTTTCCACTTCAACAAAAACATCAACTGGCCACTTGAATCAGTTGCACCAATAATTTTCTCTGCTTCTTTCTCAGGATCTTTATTAGTAGCCCCAGAAACATCACTGTTTTCTTTTTCTTCAGACACACTGTTTTCGTCATCATCAGCATCATCAGTATTTTCGGTCGCGTCAGACTTGTCAGACCTATCAGCCTTCTTCTTTGGTGGAGGAGAACAGGTCTTTCTACGTTCCCTGGATGGACCAGCATCTGATGATGCACAACTTGCAATAGTAGAATTAGATAGTGTGCGTTTACGACCACGCTCCTGTGTTTCCTTCTTATTTTTCTCCTTAAGTTCTTTTTTCTTCAACTTTTCTTCAAAATCTCTAATTAACTCTTCGCAATCAAGATTTTCTTCTGGCTCCCAAGTATTATCTACGTCATCGTAACCATTCCACTTAAGAAAGTATTCCACCTTGTTATTTTTTGTACGCTTGTCTAAGATTTTTTCCACAGAATATTCTTCTTCTTGTTCTTCAGCATCGGAACCGGATTCCACACCATTTTCAACGACTTCTTTTGATCTGAAATAAAAATACATTAATATGTTGATAATTATTTTTCAAAATAGATTTATCATTTATTTTAAATACGTTTGCTGTAAATGGCAAAAAAACTGCATGTAACTTGCCATTGACAAATTACATTAAAATAAAATATTACTTTTGACTATTGATTATACCATTTTAGTTACATATAATTATTTGATATTTAAACAATTAATATGTATGGGTATGTTTGTTTAATATTTATATAAAAAAAGAAATGAATCAAAAATTTAAAATTAAAATCAAATAGAAATTGTAAAACAAAATAAATAACTAAACTAATAATGATAGTCCAAAGTTAAGTTTGTGAAAATGATAGGAATCCGATAATTTCCATACGACTAAGATCCCAGACATATCTAGTGCATAAAATGATGGAAGCACCACACTACCAACAAGGAAAACAAAGAGAGTAAATAAGTATTGGGTATTAAACTAGCAGCAGTTCTAAGGTAACGCATTCTTACAAACTTGAGAATCGTCATTTAAAAGACCAAGTCACAAATGGTGTCTTAAAAAAATAATCAAAATTTTTTTTTTGATTTAATTAAAATTGACTGAGACCATCGTCGGTGTACTAGTGCGCCGATCCTCACATAGTATGAATGTTGACAATAACGTAAATGCTCACCTATAAGTTATGGGGCGGGTAACGAACACAACCAGCCGGACTCGGACGAGAGCGAACAGGTTGGCGGGACATCGTACTCATATAATTCTCAATTATGCTTGAGCTACGCGCATGTGTAAGATATAAAACATTGATTAACCAATTGAGCAGTTCGCGATCGGAAATGGTTTTCGTGATTTATTATTAATACGGTCTAACGTTTCTCTGAAACCCCTATACATTTGTATGATAGCGGCGGCTGCGTCTCTAAATTGATGGTGTATGGTCGGTCAGTCACGCGCTCTGTCTTTACAACATGGGGCCAACGAGCTCAAACAAATGAAAACCGCGTAAAAACCAAAACGGGAGACGGAACTCGTGCATGTGAGTAAACTTAAGTAGTTTAACTAACCTGGAAGACATATCGAAGGCTTTCGAACGAAACTATCAGAAATCAATGTTCAGCGTCGGTATGTGTAAATCAACCGCAAGGCGGGAACCGGGAAAAATCTGTGACCACTGGAACAACGACGACTGGCTCGCAGGTAATGAAATGTGGTTAAGAGTTCGGCGCCGGACAAGACCAAACAATCAGCAGGCACAAACAACTGAGCAAGTAACAACACTAACAACGACGTTGAATGGATGAGAATGAATTGATGATAGTGGTAGTACTGGTGTCAGTGTGTTCCCGACCGGATAAAATAGTTGTATGCGTACCGGCGAAGTTGGCTAGGCTGCATGTTACTAACGTAAAAGCGCCGACGCGCAGTGCACGGACCCAAGGTCATTGAAAACCAACAACAATTTTTATATCCCGTGTTGAATTGACAACACAAAGGCACTGTAGTATACAGCGTGGCAGCAGTTGTAGCACAGACTACAGAGTGCTCGCCGAGCTACGGTTAACCCATACTCAATTCTAGAGCTGCAGCCTTGGCCTTTGTTTCGTTGAACGCACGATGTAGGTAAGACACACATTGTATGTGTTCCCTACATTGTGGTTTATCGTCATATTATTTTTATTCCATGGAGTTCATGCTATTTTTGCGATTTCGACGATATTGATTTGGGTCATTCCCGCGTTTTCATTGTGCAAGCCTCGTGCGAGTTCAGGGATTAAATTCTCTTTAGTAACCCAACATGAATTTTGACCTTCGTGGTCACGGAGGCTAGAGAATGTCCGAATAACCTGGACATAACCTAACAAATAAACTTAACCTCGTTGGTAGAAAAAATAGCACATGTTTAGGGGCTCCAGTCACCAAACTCAAGGGACCTCCCTTCGCCTACCGTCACGGGACGCCAGACTCGATAGCCAGTTTGAGCACAGATTATATTAAGTTAATATAATCTGTGGCTGGACTGTAATGTTACTATGTTAGCGCCACGCAAGGTTTTTAGAAGATCTTCTATAGTACGGCCGGCGAAAAGTGAGCCAGTGGTGTATTTAAGCGAAATCGCATATAATTGTGGAAGCCCTGATGAAATTCATTCGGCCACCCGGAGCATTGGTATCGCGGCTCACTTTTCGCTGTCCGTACTAGAAGCATAGAGTAATATTACTCTATGACTAGAAGACCGTGGTTGGCGCATTGCCTACAAAAAAAGTGCGGCCAGCGAAACTTGAACCGTGACCATCACGCTCCCGGTGACCGTTTTTCGTAAGGGTTCAGAAAAATGAATAATTTACCTACTTAAATTAAAAATAATCAGCCTATTCATATGAGTAGGTTATTGGTATTGACTATTGAAGAGTGTTGACATTGATACTTTTTGACTTTTTTATATTAAATAATTTAAATACTTTATTAAGTTAACTTTTACTTAGAGATATTGACATCTCTAAACTTTAAATTATAATATTCCTCTCAGTATTTGATAGGTACCACAGCGTATCAGTGAAATATACCCCCCCCCTACTCCCTCTTGGTTTTTATTTTACTGTACGTTATTATTAAAGATAGACAAAAAGTAATACAATATTTTGATTCAGATACATAATAATATACGAGTATACAATTATAATTGTATAATACGATCCCTCCCAACATTGGTAATATTGGTTTACTTAGGAAATATTTTTAAAATTCAGGCAGTTATGTGTGCTTAATGAACTAGATTTTGGAAAAAATAAAATTTCTTAAATAGGTTGAATTTGATAAATCTTATTAGCTCTCGACACCCCCCGTAATACAATTTATTATTTTCAATATGAATATTTGTTTTGTGAATAAACATTATTTTTTTAGTTTTGACTGAACACAACTGTTGCGGAGTTTGCCGATGCCAAGGCTGTTATTTCTATCCATGATAATCCTCACATAGCTTCCCTCAATCTTCAACTCCACCTCGACCTCATGGCTGATTCACTGATTGGTATAAAAAATGGTGTATTAAAGTTAACCAATCCAAATCACTTCATACTACCTTCACTCTTCGTCTTCCTCCTTGTCCTATGGTATCTCTAGACAATATTCAAATCCCTTCCTCTCAATCAGCTAAATACTTAGGTCTGACAAGTGACATTTCACATGGTCAAATCATATTAAAATTAAAAGGCTTGCCTTAAATTCACGACTCCGCATCCTCAAAACTCTAATTACCAGAAACAAATACACTCCATTAAATACCCAACTCTTAATTTGTAAATCCTTGTTTAAGCCTATGTGGACCTATGGTCTTCAACTCTGGGGCAATGCAAAAAAATCCAACACTAATAAAATTCAAACCTTCCAAAATAACATCCTTCGTAAAATCAATATCTCCTCCTTATATTTTAAACCTAACTTAACACACCAATATAAAAATTAAAACAGTCCACGAAAAAGCAGTAACCTTTTATAAACGTTTCCACTCAAAACTCCCTTCTCATACCAACCCCCTCATTTCAAACCTTGTCACCTTCACAATTCCTGGGAACCCTTCCAGGAGGCTCAGAAGGAAATGGTGTAGAGATCTTCTCAATGAGTAATTAAAGTAGCTTTATACATTAAAAAATATAAATAATTAAATTTAAAAAAAAAATTATCAAGTAAGGGTAGTATGACCACTGGGTGACTCCTCCCATCACGTTTTCATGTAAATACTCATTCTACTATCACGTATTCTTATTGTCCCTAGAGACCTAGAGGAACAAATTGTATATGTTACAGTTAAAGTGTTGAATCAGTTAGTTAATGAAATAATCAGGTAGTTTATAAAATAACTAAAGCTTGTAGGTAATGTATATAATTTATACTTTAACTAGTTATTTTATACATTCCCTGGAATCACTTCGTTAATGTGTCAAATTGTAAATAACAAAATATCATGATAAATAAATATGGTATGTTCAGAAAATTTGTTAGCTGTAGTCCTGTAGAAGCTGTTCCAAATAAAAGTATTACATTAAAATATTTTAAATGTATTTTATACGTCAACGAATATCAAACTGAAATTGTATAGAATTACTAGATGTTCTATGAAATAACTAGTTAAAGTACAATTTTCATGTATTATTTCATACTTTAACTAACATTCGTAGATAATTCATGAACTACCTAGTTACTTCATAAAATAAAGGAATTCAACACTTTAGCTGTAACATATATACCTACCTTATAAAAATAAAAATAAAAAAGTTTTGACTGATAGTCATTTTACGGTGTGTTATTTTTTATACATTCATACCTTTTTCATTGGTACAGAAGGAATACCTACTTTAAAAGTTTTGACGGATTAGAAATTGTATATAAATAATTATTGTGATTTGATATTTTTTTTCAGAATATAATGTACCGAATATACTATTAGTACCTATTCTAACTAAAATTATGTATTTATGTGCGAGTTTGTGGTGACAGAGTCCTGTGCAGTAGATAAGGTAATGACCCATACGATATGGGCAGAATGAAGTGTACAGGTAAATGCTTAAATTAACATGCACACCGTTACGTGATCTTCTCGCTCACTCTATATATTTTTCTATTGTACATAAACAGGCGATAATACCAATAATAGTCATTAATATAGCTGAAGTCCACAAGAGTCGTTTATATATTTTTCTATTACACAGTTTGGAGACCGGACCTAACGTAGACCGTAGTCATTGGCGGTGATCACTAAACATCGTGTTACAACAAATATCTTATGCCAAGTTATAAGTAAGTCTATTGGAATTTAATTTATAGTGTTAAGAAATGTACTCAAGTATTCGTTTTCGAGCGACGCGTCTTGAAATCGCCTCAGCGTGTCTATTGGGGCTGCTGTCCACGTTCGTCTGCTGCAGTTGTTCAGTGGCAGTAGAGGCAAGCGACGAAGGCCTACTCCTGACGCCCCTAATACGGGCAGGTCGAATCGCTGAAGCTCGCTCTGCATGCAATGTGACGCCCCTGAGCGGGGACATCGAGAGCTACTCCGGTTACCTGACAGTAGACGAGGCACACGGTTCCAATATGTTTTTCTGGTTCTTCCCGGCCGAAAGCGGAAAAGCAAACGCTCCCGTCCTGTTGTGGCTACAAGGCGGCCCAGGCACGTCAAGCCTGCTAGGTGTGTTCAACTTGAATGGCCCGTTCTCGGTGTGTAAGAGCTGTGAAGGCGAGCTCAAGTTGCGTGACCAAGCGTGGACGGCTACTCACTCGGTGCTCTACGTTGACAACCCGGTGGGAACAGGCTTCAGCTACACCGGTGATGATTCCGGTTACAGTACTGATCAAATGGATGTTGCCCGGAACATGTACGCCGCCCTGGTGCAGTTCTTCGAGCTGTTCCCCGAGTACCAGCACAACGATTTCTATGTGACCGGTGAATCGTTCGCCGGCCACTACGTGCCGTCCTTGTCGTACGCAATTCACCAGAACAACCCCGAGGCCCAGGTGAAAATAAACCTCAAGGGGCTAGCTATCGGAAACGGCTTGGTCGACCCTCTCAACCAGCTGTTCTACAGCGAGTTCCTTTATCAACATGGGTTTATTGACGGTAACTTTATATATTTATATTGTTTTAATATACTTTAATGCCATCCATGCACGTTGGTTTCATAGAAATAATCATATTAATATATTAAGACACCATTCACAACTATATTTTGAATTTTTCAATGTGACCTCCCAATTAGATTCACTTTCCCATCAAAAAAAAACTCTGAAGTTGAAAATCGAAACATCTTTTCTATACTAGAAAGAACACACATCAATGTACATATTATGTATCAAATATCAATGTCACTTCATTCAAAATCTAATACATAGTAACAGTAATTTTTTCTTCAAAAATATATTATTGTACAGGTACTTATCGGTTATCACAAGGTTATATCGAAAGGTTATGGGGATCCTCTAAATGGCGCAACAAAAAACATAGAGGCACAGCTCGTCAACATTTGGATAGTTATTTGGTTGAATTCATGTGGCGTCAAAAGCACGAAAGTCCTTTTATAGGAATATTAAATTGTCTGAGCATTTTCCTCCTAGAGTGAATTATTAATTATTTTTAATTTTTACAATTACAGTTTTTCCATTTTTATAATAGTTTTTTTTATAATTTTAACGGTAGTCGCGATAACCGATAAGTACCCTTATACTATTACATAGTAGTATTTTACCTACAAGTGAATGCGCATTTTGTTTGTTTGAAAAGAGTAGCGTTTAGTGCACGTGTTATTGTCCCATTTTCAATTATCAGTTTATTCGTCAAAAAACGTTAATTATAATTTGAACCAAATTTATAAAACTGGGTAGCTGCCAGCTGGGTATCAATATTCAAATCGTATGAATTAAAATTTACAGATACAATAAAAATATTACTTATACTTATTACTTAAATCATAGTTTTATGACTTTAACAAAGTAAGCTATACAAATACCTAAAAAAAACAGTGAGCACTTGACGATAAAATGGTTTGTTAAAATTTATTGTAATATTGTAAAAAAAATTTAAAAATGTACTTGCCTACAATATGTTGTAGCAGTAGCTTAAAGATAATATTAAGTAGTATAATAACCAAAAGGATTATAAAAATATTTATAATATCGATCAATATATTATTAAAACGGTTTTTGAAACGGTTACAGAAGACGGAAAGCACAGAGTCGAACAAATCGATAATGTTATACACGCTCAGATCCTCGGCGATGACTACAGGGGTGCGTTCCGGACATTCGACGAAATGTTGAACGGAAAATTATACCCGTACCCAACGCTGTTCCAGAACCTGACAGGAATGAAATACTACTACAACTTGCTGTTAGATCGGGAGCCGCCAACGAACAATGACTGGAAGGCGTTTGTGCAAAAGGCGTCCGTGCGGGCCGCGTTGCACGTGGGCCAACGACCCCTGAACAACTTCCATTTGGTCTATCAGCACCTGCTCGGCGACGTGATGCGGTCGGTGGCCCCGTTGTTGGCCACACTATTGGACGCTGGACGCTATCGGGTTCTGCTGTACAGCGGGCAGCTCGACATCAAGCTTCATCACCGGGGCAACATGCGCATGGCCCAGTCGCTCGAGTGGTCGGGAGCTGAACGATTCCGGAACGCAGCTCTGCGCACCATTTGGTGTGTTCGTAAACAGAAGAATGGTAACGAGACCACCTTAGCAGGTTACGCGACCGCTTCCGGTCCGCTGACAGTGCTGTTGGTCAGGGATTCCGGTCACATGGTGCCAGCCGATCAGCCTGTTAATGCTCTAGATCTCATCAACCGGTTCACCACTGGTAAAACGTTTTGACCAACAATAATGGATCAGCGTCGGTCCGTCGACGACAAATGACAATACTTCACTACAGTTGAGTTGTTATCAAATACCTTTTACTCGCAAACCCTTGGATCGTATCTAACTATCTAAGCATAGACCGGACTTGTGATGGAGGGTGGTAGTATAACCGATAGCTATATAATATTTTTAAGTATTTAGCGTCACTTAAGAACCTAACCACTTAACATTTAAATAAATATAATGTTGTATAATAAGTAATAACCATTTAAATATACAATTTACAATTTTCAAAAATTATTTTTAATATGTGTAGCCAAAAATAATCATTGTGTGTTTCGACCACTCCAGAGTTCCTTCATTTGATTTAAAATGAAAAATGTATCTTCATTTTATAAACATTGCTTTAAAATGTAGCTCACATTGAATTAACTTTATAAATGTTATAGTCTGACAGGCATAATTTATATTAGTGGTAAATATAATATATACTACAAATACAATATATTGTATGGTATTTGACATTTTATGAGAATAGACGGAATAAAACAAAAAAATCTAATTGACACTTACACAAATCATACAAATTATTATAAAAATACATATACAATTATTCTACTGCAATATCAATAAACAGATTTAAAATTAAATCATCAGATTTATAAACAATTAAATAATACAATTTGTTTGGATTGATTTTCATCATATATTTGGGGTATTCAAAAAAATGTATTGTGTAATAATCTATTGTATAAAAATGTTTAATGCAGTAATTTCATAAAATGTTTCCTTCATACACATAATATATTGTAATAATCGTTATCAGGTCAAAAGTCAGTGGTGCCAGTGGTGGGTTTTCAATATTTAACTAAAATCCCAATTGTTCTCTAAAAAGTAAAAAGTAATATAAATCATATTTACTTATACAAGAATAATATATCCACATATGCAGTATTCACCTCGAAATCATCTTACAAATCAAAACGATATGGGTTCTCTAAAATTTGATACCCAACAGCTATATGGTTAATATTGGGCAATCCACGCCCGACATTTTTAAAACACCGAAACAATTATTGACACCGAGCATGGTAAATTACTATATTAGTATCCATATACGTATGTGCTGCAGTGCCATCTTGACCAGTGTACTTCAATAAGATGACCTCGAAAGTCGAAATTAACCTCAAATCTTGGATTTTCTTATACACTCAATACTGTACAACATTTTCAACTTTTTAAAAATCACATAAAACACAATCAAAAATTACAATTCTATTTTATTTTATCTCCCTCGAAATTTGAGTGATTTTCGAATTCTGATATTAGGTTTAAAATTCGTAGGTGTGTAAAATGTAGAACAAGTTACAACAGTTCGATATAATCATACGAATTTATTATACATATACTAACACCAGCTGAATATCCCAGCCAGTGGCGGATCCAGGATTTAATTTTTTTTTTTTTTGGGGGGGGGGTATGTAAGAGGCGGCATTTCCTTGGTGGTATTTTNGGGGCATAGACCACAACGCATATCTTAAATCTAAAATTCTTATTTTTTATATTTAAATTATAATAATATTGTAAGAAATTTATTACAGGCCCGGCGGAAGGCACAGGCAACACAGGCCTATGCCTGGGGCGGCGTTATGTAAGAGGCGGCATTTCCTTGGTGGTATTTTGGATAATATGTTGCTACTTAGCCTAACGCAAAAACCGAAAACCGTTTTTGAACCACTGATGAGAAAAAAAGAAATTATTTAATTATTATATTTTTATTATTTAAAAATAATAACTGAGAAGTATCCGGCATTTAACTTAATTTAGATTTGGATTGGACGGTTTATGTACATTGTACAAGTACAAAATATGTATAATACACTAAAGACTAAAATTAATCTTAATATAACGTGTATAATGTATATTAACATTTGATTTTTCCCCGAAATGACGACGTCGCGTTCGTCGAACGTCGGTACTCAATTTCACAGAATAATTATTCTTAGACAATATACTATATTATTATTTATTATACAAATTGTTTATTTTTGGTGCGGCGACACGTGCTATGCGGCATGCGCTGATAATTCTAACAGAGCTCAATAGCATTATTTGTTTTTCATCCATCGTTTTGAAGTGACCTCCTGCAATTTTTTTACAATTACTGTCAACGGTGGCTGAAAACTTAAAGGACCATGAAACAAAATAAATCATTTTTTTTATACCTTAGTATAATATTAGAAATAAAAACTAAATTGTTCGTCTTTTCAAAAAAAATTATCCGATCACTCATTCTGTGTCAAATAGCGATCGTACGTATACGCGTGACGTCACTGGTGCGCACGGATTTGTGCCGTTGTAATATTTTACGCGGTACAATATGTTTATAACACGAGTACACGACTACGACGTACGTCCGTAGTTTATATGGTGCATTCAAATTTCAAACCATGAACTAAGATATATCTCCAAGGTTTATCTTAGTTCATGATTCAAACATACAAAATATAAGACTGAATTAATATTTGTGACGATATTATAATGTCATTTTCATTTATTATTATTGACGTTAAAAGCTATTTATATCATATTAGATAATTCCATTTGAATAACATGAATAACAAACTAGGATCTATAGGATATTATCAATAATTGTCATATTTGTCATTCTTCAGCCGAAAAAAATACTAAAGTATAAAATGAATACTGAGCTACTCTAATCTTATTCAAACTTATTTATTACAAATAATTTGGTGTTCAAATTTATTCAAATTCTTTATTTGCTGTGTTTTCTTTAAAACCTACTTATATTCCATTATTTTCAGGGTACTTATTTCGAATATCTTATACAACACATGCTGGAATGCATACATGATTTCATATGAAATTAAGTATTAAAGTATTAACGATACAATTAATAATTACTAATTAATAATAAGTATAGTCGTATAGATAAATTTGAAATTACGTGTTTATAAAACGCCATGTAATATCTATCGCCTAAAATAATACGGCGGCACAAATCCGTGTGGACCAGTGACGTCACGCGTATTCGTACGATCGCTATTTGACACAGGAGTGATCGAATCATTTTTTTGAAAATACGAACAATTAAGTTTTCATTTCTAATATTATACTAAGGTATAAAAAAAAAAAATATTTTTTTTTGTTTTGTTTCATGGTCCTTTTTAAGGTATCGTACCCATGTTATAGTATTTTGTATGATTTGTATGTATATTTTTGTAAGATAAATTTGTACCTTTATTATTAGTGATTTATAAATTGAGTAATAAATAATTTTGATAATAAATATTATTCGCGCCGAGCTAATAATACAGCTCGTTATGCAATTCTGTGCACGGCGGTGAACCATCCATATCATCTCCCTTCTATCCCCGTTACCTATTACTATTATAATTATCATTGTTCGTTGTCACCAATTATTTTATACTCTCTTTGTCTGCATCGTAATTATCTGTTATTGTTTTTGTCTATAATCATGTATGGGGCTAACTCTCCATTATTATTATTATCTTTTTTTATTATTGGCGTCGTATAGTCTTCCATCAGCATCCGCTCGGTTATGTCGTTTTTCTCTACCTTTTTTTGGTCTGCTATGAAAGCGATCTTTTGATACATATTATTATGTGTAACCCGCTATAATATATCGAGCACCTAATGTATCATTATATTATAGTATATTATAACATTATTATTGTATTTAAAGTCACGCAAATAAAATCCGATCTGGCCGAACCCTGGAGTCGTAAGTCTACTTATTTGTATTATTATTGTCGTCGAACTTGGCAACTGTTTATTGTCACCGTCGAAAGTGGTGAGTCTCATCTCTGCACGCTGGATCGACAGATTCAACACGTAAGTCCGCCAGCAACATTACGTTGTGCGAGAGGTCGCCCAGGTCGTCCAGTTCGACATCTGCCTGATCCAATTCCTTCCAGTCCATCTGAATCTCAAGACCTCAGTAGCTTAAGTTATTTTTAAGTACCTGTTGTTTGTGATCTCTGTGATCATTGCATCATACCGGATCGATCACAGACACCCCCTCCCCATATATAACTTGTACCATCCTCATTCCCGTGGGCCGTGATAGGTCTTTCCCGTCCTGGTCGTTGTCGTCGTCCGTGCATATTTAATTGCCTACCAGTAATTTACAAGGCGCAGGTACCTGTGGTCGTACGCTCGTTGATATTGGACACCTTATCATTTTTAAACAGTGTTCTCGGTCTATACCGAGTGGTCCTTCGAGAGCCTTATTGGGTATTGGTATTATTATATATTATTATTTTTGTATTAGCCGTTTTGGGCGTTTATAAATATTATAATTGGTATATAATATTAGCGTGAATATTATTAAAGTTATTTGATCTCACGAATTTGAATTATAAACTGTTCCCTGTATAAACATTATACGTAGAGTATGTTCATAATAATAAACTTTATTTGAATTATAATAATTGAATAAAATCTAGTTAATCCTAACTTTTTTAAGCAATGTTAATTTATTACAAATATTATTATTTTTAATGCTAATAAGATGTTTGTATTATTGTATTCAATCATATACCTCAATCTATATCAAAAATTAAAACAGGTATATTACTATATTAGTCTGAAAAAGAGGTACATTTGATATTCCGTTAATTAGTATTGTATTAATTATTAAATTCATTATTAAAATAAAAAAATAAATAATAAACAATTTAATTATAATTGCATTTGTGAACAACAACTTTTCTTTAGTGAAATACAATTTTTTCTTAGAATTTCAAAAAAAAGAAAAGTTTGGGAGAATTTCTTATATAATGTGTTTGAGCGAAACAATATAAACGATAAAATTATAAAAATTAATAAAACCTAACTTATGCCCTTCACACCCCCCCCCTAAATCCGCCACTGATCCCAGCGCCCATGTGCAGTTTTTGGTGTCAAATCCTACATAGTAACCAGCAAATTTAAAAATCTAAATAAATAATATTTTTCATTGACATTTTAAGTTCAGATTTTGACGAAATTGGGTATTTAAACAAAGAATAACAATTTCAAACATATCAATTATTTTGTTGAAAATCAAAAATATTATTCGTCACCTATTGAGAATTGAAATTTTCGCATATTTTTAATATTTTACATAAACGATGTAATTTTCAAAACATTTAGAATTTAGATTCATTTTAATATTTTTATATATTTTGTATAGCCTATCTATACCACGAACCTATTGACACCGCTATCATTTCTCACACTTATCTACTAACCAAATACCGGTACAGACTACAGACTCAAAAGTTAATAACAATAATAATAATTAATGCTATAAATAGATCGGTACTATATCATAATAATATAATGAAGGCAATATTATTACCAAAAATTAAATCAACTTACTGTGTATTACTAAAAGTAAAATAAATTACTATAATAACAACAAA